TTCATCCTCCAAAAGGTTCCATCAAAACCCTAGATAACATAATTAGCTACTCATAAAGTATGTAAAACTACAATACTAAAATTCATAACCAATAATGGAAATAGGAAGAAGAAAGTGAAAAACTCGTAGAAGAATTCTCCGCCTTGCTCCTTGCGTGTTCTTGCCTCCTTAGGTTCAATACCCTCCTTCAAAAGTGAGTTTAAGGATTATTTATATGGGATAGGGTTAGCATTGGGTGAAATAATACAAGCCCACTTCGGAACAACCTTTTTAGGTTAGCTCGCTCACTCTCTCGTGCGCACGCGAGAGTGAACGAGCGAAGTTCTTCTCTTTTTCTTTTCCTTCTAGGACTCTCGTGTACTTCCATGCCTTTTTGCTAAAATCCGTTATTTTTTTTTCAAGCTCCCCTCAGCTAGCTCGTTCACACTCTTGTGTGCACGCGTGAGTGAACAAGCGAAGTTCTTCTTTTGTCTCTTCGTCCCGAATTAACTTCTTTTGCTCACCTTTCGTCCAACTTGCTCCTACATATAAAAATGTACGTAATGAGCATAATTCACTACAAAAAATCATGTAACCTCCCGCAATTACACAAAATATGAGATGAAAGTACACTAAAAATATGCATTTTTAGCCGTTTATCAATACCCATACTTAAACTCTTGCTCGTCCTCGAGCAACTTTCAAAATTAAGCACAAGGGCAAGAAACACATTTCAACAAAAATTACTCAAGCATCACACCAATGACAATGGTTTATACCAACACTTAGAACTCAACATAAGAACAAGTGACATCTTTCTTCAAAATTAGACCCATGCCAAGACTATTTAAAATATTTGTACGTCCTTTTCTAACATCCTAACCTCAAAAAATGACTCCAATACATTCCCTACTATGACTAACTTCCTGTGTCAACTCAAGATGTCCGGACGTAACCACTCCTTTGTAAATCATGTGGCCTCACCACAAACTAAAAAGAGAAATTAGTCCACACACTCAAATATGCATTCAAGTATAATTTAAGGACTTACAAATCGAAAGAATTCACTAACTCTCTCAAAAAAATTCATGTGCATCCCGAGGTCGTTTCATAGGCGTGCCCGTAGTGTATGTCTCTACTAATATAAGCTTGCGAAGTCTAGGATCAATTAGGTCTTTCCAGGTTGTAATGTAGGCTAAGTGATGGGTAGGATATATTTGGATATAGTGACTAACCCTCCTAAGCACTTTAATACGCTGCTCTTAACTTTCCAATACACGCTCTTCATCACCAATTCAAGCAAAGTCATGAAATCATATAAAATTTGGCATTTCTTCTTTAAGCACAACTATGCATTCACTAGCCGAGGTTAAAACGGATAGGAGGTGTATTTTCTAATTTTTTTAATTTTTCTTTTGTTTTTGTATTTTCTTTGATTTTTTTTCTTTCAACACTCTTCAAATTTAAGTTTCCCGGCTAATGATCTTTCAAAACATATATGCACCTTTAGGCCTTTCTATGATTCAACTCACAAGCTACTCCAACTCTCACCTTATTCTTCTAGCGACTTAAGTGTTTTCGGAGGTAAAAGTTCAAAAAGATCTAATTAAGAACAAAAAGGGAATCGACTCGTAATGTGAGTGCCAAAGAAAAGGTTTATAGGCTCAAATGAGCTCTCTAAGGATAATTTTATTTATGGTGGCATACTTGCTCAATGGACAATCAAAAAAGCGCCTACATCATCTCCTAGACTTACAGCTCTAAGTCTCGGCATAAAACATGTCAAAAAGTATTGATACTCAAGTTCTTCCAATCCATTATCAGTTCTAAAAAGAAAAGGAAAATTTTTGTATTTTTTTAGACTTTACTCTCCCAAGAAAACTGTCTAAGAAATCCATCGTCAGGAAAAGTGCAATTTTTTTAAATATTTTACCTAAAATAAAACTATGCGGTTCAAAGAGTCATCCCTTGGAAAAGTGGAATTGGTTAGAGGCCTTGCCATTAATTGTTGCATTCACCATTGGGATAAATGTATTAGGTGATACCCTTTTTTGCTTGAGCCCGACCGGGTTGGGTCCGGACCGGAGCAAATCGGGGCCATCAAACCCGACCTGGATGCAAGGTAGAACGACGGCCACGTCTACAACCGAGGTCGAGTCATTTCGAGACCGTTACAGAGCTCGATAGGAGTCACCACCGGATGGAGAAACACACAAGGTCGAAAGCCGGACTCGTAACGGATAACCAAGCGTCGCCGGATATCTCGCCCAAACGTGATTTTCTCAACCACTTCAGGCCATTAAGGCGTAATTACAGGGATCCACGATGTAATCAATTGACCTACCTTATTTTTACCCTGAATCAGAATGTATAAAGGGGGATCTCTCTAAATTCTTGAGGATCATCAAGCACAATTGTTCTAAGCAATATTATATTCTGCGATTATTTACTTTAACAGCAATTGTTGAGTCTTTATCTTTATTTTCCTTAACCTAAAAACCTTTTGTATCTTTTAGTTCACGGATCCTTAAAACCCCATATAAATTCAATTGTTATCCGGATTCGAGGGTAAACAATAAATAGGTAGGTATTTCTCTTAGGATTAAAGAAGAATATCCATTACTAGGCTGCAAGGTGAACTCTTGCACGGTTCTTCAAGAGAAACTAGTACAAACTTGCTTAGGCCTTTAGCCCGGGCGTAATGTTTTGAATATTCAGAGTTTTATGAGTTTCTTTTAGAGAAATTTTCATAAAGCACTATCTTTTAGTGGTAATTAGCTATCTATAGATACCATTTGCTATATTACAAATTGTAGATACATTTTCTGTTGTTATAAGATGTATTAGATATATTTAAGCTACTATATTCATGAATACAATAGCAAAAATAGGCGTGAATCAGGGAAGTCCACCTAATCAGTTGTTGTATTCGAGTGTATTCGACTGTATTCATGGCGTGAAACATGAGATTACAGCTGGACAGATTATTGTATTCGACTGTATTCACGGCGTAAAATAGGGGATTACACTGTTTTTAAACGGAAAGTGTATCAATTAACATAATAGACTCCTAATATAACTCAACAAACTCAATTATAACGCACAAAATTTGTATTTTCGGTAATAAAAAAGATTCTCAACCGAAAAATACCCCAAAAAAATAGCAATCTTCAGAGAAATTATATAATACATCTGAATACATAAATTATACTCCCTCCGTTTCAATTTATGTGAACCTATTTCCTTTTTAGTCCGTGCCAAAAAGAATGACCTCTTTCCCTATTTGGAAACAATTTACCTTTATGCAATGATTTATAGCCACACAAAATATACGTGCTTCATTTTACACCACAAGTTCAAAAGTCTTCTCTCTTTTCTAAACTCCGTGCCCAGTCAAATGGGTTCACATAAATTGAAATGGAGGGAGTATTAATTAAATAAACATATGAATACATTCATGGCATATAGCGAGACAGTGAATACAATGAAATACATAGAATACAGCGGGATACATTGAAATACAATAAAAAAAAAAAAGACAGTGAATACAATGAAATACAGCAAGATACATTGAATTACAATGAAAAAAAAGACAATGAATACAAGGAAATACATGAAAATACAGCGTGATACGTTGAAAATACATTGGAATATATTAACAGAAAATCAGGTTGCTCAGCCCCAAACTCCGTCGTCTTTGTTCAAGAACAAACCCTAATTCCGACGAATCCGCCGTCGAGCAATGGTGGCAGAATAAGGACTCTGTTAAAACTTGAATCTTGTATTGAAGATGACGGAAGTAGAGAACCTCGATTTTATCGCTTTCCCAATTAGTTTTGGATAATGTTGAAGTTCCTGCCATTGGGATAATCGTACCACAAATCAACAACCTGAAGATTCCCTTTGGTGTTATTCATGAAGAGAATCGAGTGGAATTGTTTTGGCCATGGTGTAGGAATTGGGTCGTTGGATTTTGAAGCATTGATTAAAGTGAAGCAAAGAGAAGATGACGTTAGAAGGAGGAGGAGAGCGGAAATTTTAATGGGATGGTGGAAGAGAATGTCATGTGTCAAAGTATAGAGAGAAAGAAAATAGTGTAACTAAATAGCGTATTTAGTGGTTTAGGGGTATGAGGTAACCAAAATTAGATATTTTGCTATAAACATTAAAAGATATCTATAGAATATAATTTTTTAAATGGTACTTATTTAAAATAAATGAGGTGTTAACCTTTGTTATAGGAGGTAAAAATTCCTTTCTTTTAATCTTATCAGTTTTATTACTACTATTCTTTTATTTTCTTATTCATAGTTCTTCAATTCTATCAGTTGTGTTGTTCGCTTCTGCTATCTTATTACCTTGATGTTTTTATTGTTTGTTGCTTCCTTTGAACCGAGAGTCTATCGGAAATCACTTTTCTACCTTCACAAGGTAGATGTAAGGTCTGCATACATATTACCTGGATATGTTGTTGTTGTATAACATATTGGACCATTTAAAAATACTAAGTTCAAACTTGAAATAATAAGTTGAAAGAGAGAACTATGAAAAATTTAAGAAATATTCATAAATTACATTGCAATACATATTTTTATGTATAAAATATTTTTAAAACTTATATATATATATATATAATGTCGGGTTGGTTTGGTTTCGATTTGACTTTTTTTTAGTTAAAACTAAATCAAACCAATCATGGTCAGATTTTTTTTTCAAACACCAGACCAAACCATAGTCGAATTTCTTTTTCTCGATTTAACTCGAATTATCAGTTTGATGCAGTTTGTCAGTTTCTTTTGTACACCCCTGATGCCAAATAATGCCTCCAATTCATCCTAACTATCCTACACAATGAAGTAGATTAATATTTACTGTATGATAAAAAAGCGGAATAATTTTCTTTTCAATGTACAGATACTCCTGGACGGACCATAGCATATTTCAGTGCCTCGTCCACTAGAACACTGATGAAGAGAATGTAAACAAGGATATGAAGAGGATGTTAATTTTTCAACGGTGACTGAGCTGGAAGAGAGGGCACAATGAATATGGAATTGGCTAAAAGTGTACAAGCCCTAAAGCGCACACCAACACTCCAAACTAGTAAAGATGAAACTAACTGCACATCAATCAGAGAAGACAGAACGTTGCAACTGTTCTCTATCAACAGTAATATTGTTCAAAGATGCAAACCATAAACTACAATAAAAAAATACCTAGGAGTGAGAACCAAAATGGGGCATACGTACTATTTTGCGGAGGTGAATAGGAGATGTGAAAATAATCAAGCCTGCCATGGCTTAATCAGGTCCGCAAGACCTTACAGATTTATTCATCATCTTGAGCCTTGGACTTCTTCTTTTTCTTTTTACCTTCACTTGCAGCAGGGTGTTCCTCTCCATTTCCTTCCTTACTCTTCTTTTTCTTCTTCTTTGCTGTTCCATCCTCACTCGCACCATTCCCATTACCTGCAGTCTGATCCTCTTCATGCTCTGGCTCCTGTTCTGATTTCCTCTTCTCCTTCTTCTTTTTCTTTTCGGATTTGGGCTCTTCAGAGGCATCACCATTTCTATCAACAAATGGTTTATCCTCATCCATTGGTTGTCCACCTTCCATTATCTCAGCTTTCGATTTCTTTTTCTTGGTTTTCTTTGTCGAAGCTTCATTAGCTGCCTCATCAACATCCATGTCTGCATCAGAAAAATTAGCAGCACCAAGGATCAATAGAGAAATAAAATTGAAGATCCAGCAGATGATGCTAAGCGAAAGGAGCTAAAGTGATGTCCAGCCAAGAAATATGTGCATGTTACTCCGTTGGAAGTCATTCATGCAGATAATAATTTGAGGGCCATTTATCAAACAAGCATCTCAGCAACACAACTCCAGCACAACTTCTATCAAACAGTGCAACAACTTAAGAAAACTGTGCACTGTCTAGGTATTCTAGTGCATATCCCATGGGCTCAAACACATCCTCTAGTCTGAATGACATGTCCATGTAATATACTCTTAGTTGTGTATCCTATAATCCGTACATGCACATACATACCATACAGTTTGTACATGTATATGTACATACACGTGAATGTACAAACACACATGCATACATTTCCCCTATAGCCGAAAAAAGGACGGGTGTCCTACCCCTCCACTCCTACAGAAGTGGTGTTTCATTTTCAGAATGTTCAGACTTCATATTTTACCTCAATCCTATCTCAAAAGTAAAAGCACACACCTTTGTCTTCGGCAGTTTCAATAGCAGCTTTCATTACATCTAGGTTTTTACGAGGTGCAACCCCCTTGTCATAAAAGTCTAGTCGCTCCTCAACTTGTTCGCGGAGTTTCTCTCCAAAAGCAGTAGTGCTTTTGTCTGCACAAGAAAAAAACAAAAGTTAATAACAATTGCGTAGGAAATAAACTTTCAGCAACTGATCGTAACTTGTACGCCCTTACTGAGACTTGCCTAAGAAACAGTCAAGACGAGAAGCAATAGAGCACTTGTTTGCAAGAAAACGAGCCATCCGACCCTTGTTACGAGCAGTTGCACGGCCAATGAAGGAAGAATGAAATATGAGACCATATTTTGGTGTATTCCCTTTGGTTTTCAAGGCTCTGAACGGAAATAGAAAAAAGAGGGAGAAAGTGAAACTTGGGATGTGATTTAAAAAGAAGCAATTCATGCAATGGGCCAAGTAACCAAGAAATATATAAAGCCACATACGTGCACCTAATAATTTTGTGAAATTGGGCCTAGGCAAAATCTCAGATATGCAAGAAGATAAAGATGCGCGAAACATTTATAAGAAATGTTCATTACCTGAAAAGTGCCTTCTCAGCACCAAGTATCTGAAGGGTAGAAGAGGGGCACTTTGCCAGATTTGTGAGACTACCAGCATGAGAAATTAAACGGGCACCAACGACTTCACCAATCAGAGCAGCCAAATTTGGTGCTATGTCATGCATCTTAGTGACCAGATAATCATAAAGATTCTTCCTGTATTCAACAAGGTCCATTACTCTCTGTGCAAATAACTTGACGTTAATCAAGTCAACTGGGGACAAATCCTGGCCTGAAAATTAGAGGGGCATAAGTAAATAAAACGTATTAACATCCTCTCTATGGCTTGCTAAAGGATATCATACCCATGGATGCTTTGGCAGCTTCTACAATTTCTTTTGCTTTATCTTCATCTCCAACTATTTCTGTTAAGTCTGCAAGTTTGTCTTCGGACAACTGGGATTTGTCATCAACGAATTTTGCAACTTTAGCATATAGATAATTGTCATTGATAATCTTCACCAACTCTGGGAAATGCCATGAGTACCATTCTCTGCATAATCATTTGACAGAAAACCACGTTAGTAACCAAATGCAAAACGAATGGGAATCGGCGGGAGATGGTCTTCAAGTAATATTACACACATGCACATGCACATGCACATGCACACATATATGATATATCCTATACTGCAGTTGGTTTGGATACTGGACAGAGGCATAGATGGTGGTTTAATCTATTTAAGTCACGAGATAAACTAGAAGGGGGAAGACAGCAATTACAAGCATATATCAAGTCTCTAAGAAAGTAGCACATGCACATGGACACCACGGAATCATGCCCCAAAAAAATTCGAAATGCATTACCTAAAAGATAATGGAAGATGACAGTATCAAGTAAAACAAGACTATACACAAGGGGGAACTAACCGGACTCTCATTGCAAAGGTATTTATATCTTTATCAAGAGTATCAAGAAGGACAATAGCTTGAGTAACCATATTGTCAACACGATTGACGTTGAACTTAACCTTTGCTCTGCTGTAACTGTGACTCAGGCCAAGTTGGGCTTTCTCCAGGTCACCAGACTACACAAGAAAGAGAGGAAAGAATAATTAACAAGTCCCGTCTACGCAGCATGTTTAAACTTGTAAGATACACACTGCCCAACTGCAAAATAGTGAAAACAGCCGAAGAAAGATTCAAGCTACAATACAAACCTTTAGGTTTTCAATGAACTTGTCAAAATGCAAGCGCACTCCACGTAAAAGTTCAAGAACAAACTCATTGCTTTGGCAGGGAAACTTAGTCACTTCATGAATATGTGACCCGAGCTTAGGCTCTGCCAATCCTAGGCTGAACTTAGGCTTCTTACCCTCCTTAACTTTTGGGAGAGTAAGCTCCAAAAAGTTCCTTAGCTCATCAGTCATTTGCCCTGAGAGACAAGCCACGCCAATTGTTAAAACCCAATCAGGCCAATAAACTTAATCAACAAAGGTAAATAAAAAAAAATACTAGCACAGCAGGACTCCACAATCGCTGCACCTACATTTCCTGTATTCTACTGCTAATTCAAAGAGTCTCAGCTAGTAGAAAACATTTATGTCCATCTATCATGTCATCATTTTCTAGTTTTTTCGCTTCTAGGCATTGAAAAATTATCTAATACAAACAAAACAGCTGAGAAGAATCAGTAATTTAGTGAAAGCAGCATAATTATCTATTTCCTGACCACAACTAAAGTATTGGTGGAAAATAAAAATGACACCCTTTAGTTTCTTCAAGATGCAATCAAATCACAGTAATTCCCCTTTTTTCACTCGAGCAAATCTGAGCTTAGCATCTTATGCTGGCGCACGTCAGAAGACCCAATAAAGGAGGAAGGATGAGATTTGTGTTGACAGTCAGCATAAAACTACTCAATTAAGGATAAAATGCTTAGGAATACGCTCTCCTAGGCATGATATTACAATGAAACGGGATATTAAGTGTTCATATAGTCCACCCCAACTAGTTTTTAGACTTGCTGCTTTAACTTCTACTCATTTAAGACAATTTTTATCTGTGCTGAAAACCAACCACTAGACGATTATTTTAAGCAAAGTAGTACAGCTAACTACACATGCAAGACACCCCAAAGAGGGATTACATTAATTTTTTACAGCCAAAAAATAAATTCAATAGCATTTACAGGTCTTGACCTTCAGAGACAGCATTGCATTGGTTAAGAGCATCAAGAGCAGATTCAAATGGACTAAAAGCAGCAAGTTTTACGATTTTTCCAAAGCGATTGAGATCGGTAACTGAGTTTCGAACTGCCTCAGTGTTCTGGCCGATTTCGTCAAGCCCATGTGCCAAGAACAGAGCGTACCCCGACGCGGACTCGTACAAGAGGTACAACGCCATGTACAACCCACTCAATCTTCGCGCTTCTCTCTCTCTCTCTCTCGGCCTGTTTTGTCTATCTTCTATCTCCGAATGGGGAATAGAGAAAGGGATTGGCCTAGGGTTTAAGAGGTTTATAGACTGTAATGAAAGACTAGAGAAGGAAAAAAGAAAGAAAAAATATAATAATGGTGAGGGCTGCATCAATTGTCGGCCCAATTCGAGTTTGTTTGACTTCGGTCATCTTTTTGCCGGTCTCCGCAGCACTTTTCGTAAGAGATTTTTACTTATTTATATTGGGGATTTTTTCCTAACTATATCATATTTGAAACCTTATTACTAAAAATGTGTATAGTTTGTATATTACCCGCCCAGTCCACACTTTAACTACAATTTATATACCAATCGTTTATTAGGCAGAATCTGCCATTTATTGCGCGCGAAAAATCAGCCACAAAATCTGGGATTGATTTATTCCAAATTAAATTCGAAATTTGAAACGTAAAGGAGATCTGCAAGCTGCGTAATTTTGAAACGGAAAGGAGATTTCTGTTCTTCAACTTCATCTTCATCTGTTCTTCCATATATTTTTCACCACTGATAGCCATTAAAAAGCTTGAAAACTTTGAATTCAAATTTGAGTTTTCAAAAATCATTATTTGTTTGGATTGGGTGTTGTTGAAAATAATCGGGAATATGATTTGGAGTTTATATCTCAATTTTGAGGGGTTTTGGTGAAGATTAGACTTGGTTTTGACTGAATTTCAGACTGAAACTCGAAGAAGAAGAAGAAGACATATTTCCAGAAATTGTAGATAAATTGTAGAATTGTAGATTGGGAAGACTAAAACTTCTACAAATCTTCTACAATTATGTCGAAAATGCCAATTATGCTACAATTGAAATGGGAATTGGGATATTAAAATTCAATGTATCCAATTTGTAGATATCTTGTAGATAAATTGTAGATTATTTGTATTCTGATTGTAGATGCATTGTTTTCTGTTTTCACAAATCCAAAACGACTAAAGCTTCTACAAAATCTTCTGCAAAAAACACTCTACAATTTATCTACAATTTTTCTACAATTCTACAATTTCTGGAAATATATCTTCTTCTTCTTCTTCTTCGAGGAGTTTCAATCTCCTTTCTCCAGTCAGACTTGTCTGCACGATTAGGAATTATCGTTTGGTTACAGAAATAAAAGCAAAATGATAAGTTTCTTGATTTCCGAATCCTGAATAGATACAAGCTTTCAACTAAGATGGCGTTGAAGTTAGGTAGGAGCTTGTCTGACCTAAGAGATCTTGCTGCTGCTGCTTCATCTAAGGAAGAGGAAATTGAGTTCGGAAGCAAGCTTTTCTAAAATTCTGACTGTTTATAGTGTAATGCATAGACAAAATCGAGTTCTCCATATGTGAGGAGGGGGGAAGTGGGAAGATACGGTCATATAATAACGCCTAATATAAATGCACCCTTAATTATATCCCTAATTTGAGTTATGGTATATAAATGATAATTTGGTATACTGAAATGTAATTAACACAAACCTTAAACATTGAGGGTGATAAGGTTTCATATATGGTATAGGAAGGTAAAAATCCCTTTATATTCCCTCTATTCCAGTTATACTTATTTCTTTTTTGGTTCGTTCCAAAAAGATTAATCCCTTTCTAAATTTGGTACTCTCTCTGTTTCAAATTAGATGAGGTTTAGTGTGTTCCAAAATAAATAACATATTTGTAAATTTGGAAATAATTCAACTTTAAACTCTTCATTTTACTCATTGTACCCTTAATGAGAAGCTTTTATAACCACACAAATCTCATGGCCCTACTGTTTAACCAAAAAATGGAATTTTGACTAAAGCTATATTTTAGAAGAACACGGGTTACTGATAATCGCAATAATATATAAAAGAGAATAATTTGAATAGCCAGAATATAATTGAATAAAGCAAGTAAACCAAAGTATATTCAGATGATTTTTTTGTGCCCCTACAATTGTTCAGTCATCTCCTTTTATAGCTATCTTAGATGTAAGTGCCTTGCTTTGGTCATAATAAGGTTATTATGGGCAATAAATGACATTGAATGCTACGTTACATAATCATTACAGTTAAGACAGATTCTCTAACGTTTTCAGCATTTAATGCTTATCAAATATTGTATTTGGACCCTCGTATGCTGTCAGATTCATTCCTTCTGATTCTTGGATATAAATGACTTAAATAGGTACGGGCGCCGTGTTACTTGTCTGATGTCCCGTGCCTCTTCCTCTTTCCTTACTCGTATCTGTTGTAACTCTTGACTCGTGGTTAATTGTGATTCTTGACCATTTGACTAATCCACATGTCTTGACACGTCACCTTTATATATAAATATAATTTTTCCCAATACACCTACAAAGCTTTTACCCCTTAGGCTTTTAAGATCACAACTTTTAAAAGTCTTTTTTTTTCTTAAACTCCGTGCCGAGTCAAAGTACCTCATCTAAATTGAAACGGAGGGAGTAACAATTTAGCTTAAACTTACAATTCTACCCTTAATGAGAAGCTTTTATAACCACACAAATACTGTGGGTCACTTTTTGACTTATTTAGGACCACAAATTCCAAAAGTCTTCATTTTTTTTAAACTCCGTGCCCAGTCAAACAGGTTCACATAAATTGAAACGGGGGAGCACTACTTTTGAAACTTACTTGCACTCAATATTAAAATTTTGACTTAATTATAAGTTGATATAGTAATTTATTAATTATATACAAAATAATGTATTAGAATGTAATCTTCCCTATTCTCTTTCATCTTCTTCCTCCCAAATTCAAACAATCAAATCTCTTTAAACTGCATGTCAGTCAGCCAAGTTAGTTGTAATTTCTTTATCTTCCAGTTAGTGAGTTTTCTGCATTTTTTCTTTGTTTAACGCGCCCGGCTATTGATGAGGGAACTTTAATTGAAATCTGTTAATTTTTGTGCTCCTTTGAATACTTTTCTGTTGGATCTCTACATGCATAGTGATGATAGTATCAATTTGCACATTGGTTTGAATTGAAAATAGGTGCACGATTCGATTTTTTGGATAATCAAAATTAATTCTTCTTCCCTTAATGAAAATCGCAACAGATTGAACACTTAATTTGGTGATTCAGATGAGTTTCTGTATTTATTGTCTCCTTTAACTAGTAAGTAAAGCTATTATTGATTTTGCGTTGTGTGAGGGGTAGTAAAATTTCCCAAAAAGGTACTGAAATTAGACATTGCTTCGAAGCTTTTCAAGTCAATTATTGAAGCATTCAGGGCTTCCATTGGCTGTCATTTTAGCTTCCCTCTCGAAAAATACTGTGCATACTCTAATTTTTTCAGTTCTGCTAAGTTTTTTCTCTATTTTTTCCTTTTTAGGTTCACCCAGTTATTAGTAATGGAATTTTACGGGGTATCAATTTGAATAATGATGCACTCAGGATGTTTGACAATATTCATGAAACAACTTGATGATATTTTCACTTTTTTAAGGTGCATTTCTGTTGCAAATTGAGCTCTACTTCTCTTTTAATTCCAAATATCAATCTAATCACAAATTTTATAAGTGTAGGGTGGGAAACCCATGTGTGGATTGGCCCTACTTGTCCTTCAATTATGGTCACATTAACCAGTTCTAAACTCAATTAACCAAAATACATTTGGTAACGATTTTGTTTATAATAATAGTAATGGTTTCAAAGTAGATACAAACGATATGTTGTAGTAGTATATAATTTTTAGAGTGCTAAGAAATTGATCCAAATTAAAGTGGACACAATGGATTATTGGTTCGGTCAGTTGTCTATACTTTTGCTAACTCTTTTACGTGTAACGAAGCTTTAAAAAATTGTTTCTACCCAAATGCAGGGGTGGAGCTAGAAGACCGACTACGGATTCGGCAGAACCCAGTAGCTTTTGCTCAAACAGTGTATTTGTGTTAAAATTTTCATTAAATATGAACAAATAGTAAATTTAGAACCCAGTTATCAACATTTGAAATCGTATTCTAAAATGCAGAACCCATAAAGTCGAAATCATGGCTCCACCTCTGTCCAAATAGATCTTTCTTTGTTCTATTATTATTAGTAATATAAAAGGACTAAGTTATGTTGCATAAATATAAGTATGTGATGCTACTTAAAGTGGTAGAAAATATCAAATGTTGGAATGCTTAATTTGAAACATGCACCAACGAATTAAGGAAATTGCGACTTGTACAATTTCTGGTGCATCATCTCCACACATATGCAAGCACAGAACTTTGCTTGTCTTTGCACGTACTATAAGTTTCATGAAAACCGATCTGGAAGACTAGAAATAGTAGCCTTTAAGGGCCTAAAATTTGCTGTATAAACATCAACATTACCATATTCTTTGATGGCCTGGGAAAGCAAAATGAAATCATTAATCATACTAGTTATTTGTTAGGATTGGATGTTGTTGTAAATGATTGGGAATATCCTTTGGAGTTTATATCTCAATTTTGAGAGAATTTGGTGAAGATTGGAGGTAGTTTTGATTGGGATTTCAGATTGAAACTCGAAAAAGAAGACATAAATAAATTGTATATATTTTGTATGTCGGGTGTAGAAACGGCATACAAAATATATACAACTAACATAATTGTATATAAATTATATGTAAATTTTAGTTTTTGAGCGGATTCTATAAAAAATTGTATTTAAGTTGTAGATCAATGGTAGATATACTGTAGATTTTGATTGAATTTATATATATTTTGTAAAAAACTTTAGTTACTTTCCATAAATAGGAAAACTTAGACAAAATCGGGTAAATAAATTTAAAATCTCGTATATATAGGAAAAATTCCTTTTCATAAAGTACTATAGATTGGAGCCTAGTAACTATAGTTTGCCTAATTATCATCCATAGCTACTATTCAATTATTACCAACTTGTACCACTTGTATTCAAGTGCAATACAAGGGTGTATACAAAGGATACAACTTGTATCGATTGTATACATGAGTGTATATAAAGGATGCAACTTGCATCGGCTGCAACTAAAGTGAAATACAGAAATACAAATAAATAAAATGCTCTTGTTGAGCGTAGAACTCAAGACCTCCGCTAACTAAGCGGGTGCTCTAACCAACTGTGCTATGAGAGCTTGTTAATCT